CCTGTAAAAGGGAAGATCTTGGATGTGCCAAAGGTTTGGATTGTTGTTGTTGATTAATTCCAAAATCAGCTACTGCACCTTTTTTTTAATTAAAATTAAAAATATTTTATTTTAATTTCTTACAAGTAGAACTTTTCTCTTCAAAATTTTCATCATTATTAATATTATTATTTGATTTTTCTTCAATAGAAGCGATTGGAGGTACTTTACCAGTAATTAAATGTTTATCTGATTTGTTGCTTCCTCGACGTTTTTCCCACTTTAACTATTTAATTAAAGAATTATTTTTAAATGTTTTTAATTGAAAAATAAAGTTTTTAATTTTTGGAAAATTATAAATATTAAAATTTGTAACAGATTTTGTGAAAGGGTAGTATAAAATTGTTTAATATAAACATAAAAATTGTGAACTTTTTGAAAAATACATATATTCAAATAATAAAACTTTTAAAGAACATTTGTATATAGGTAGAGAAGTACATATTTGTACATATAGAGAAAACTTCTTTAGATTATGATCTCATTAAAAACATTTTCTATTCAAAAATTTTCTTAACCTCAGTAAAAGTTAAATAGAATAACAAAATTTTAATATTTTTTTAGGAAATAAACTTTTATAGAATAAAAAAATATTAAAGTAAAGAAAAAAATTAAAAATTCAAATTGTTTTCATAGAGAATTTTAAATTTAAAAACTAGACAACAGTATCAATTTATTTCCCAAATAAATCTTCATCAACATTATTGTTCACTTGGCAACAAAAACTAATTAACGAGAAAAATCAGAATATTTAAATGTTAAATAACAAAAAAGAGATTTTCAAAAAAAATATTTTTTAATAATTTAAAGGTAAAAATATATTTATTTATTTATTAGCAATTAATTTTTAATGTATTTACAATGTTAGAAGTAGCTTATTATTGATGGTAGGTCATAAGGGAGTGCGGCAATGGCAAATTGAGAAGAGTGTTGGAGACAGAAAATTGAGGAAAATAAAAGAGAGGAAAAGCAGCCAAAAGCTTTATAATAAAGTATTTATTTTCCAAAAACAGTCTCGATTGTATGCATGTGCCAGAGAGGAGAGAGTGAGGAGGGAGAGAAATTTTGTTTTGAAAAAAAATTATTTTTGAAAAAGAGTTACTATTTTATCCTCTCAACGGGAGAAGTAAGTATATAGCCAAGTCTGCGCTCTCCTTTTTGCTATTTTCGTCACTCCAATATATTTTGAGTGAAATGAAGAGAAGTATAGGGAAGAATTAGTTAAGAAAAAGCAAAAAGTAGAGGAAAGGAGAGGGCACAACAAACAAGCAAGCAGCTATTCAATTCATTGACAATCGAGAATGGAAAGAAGCCAAAATAAGGTCATAACAAAGGAAAGAAAATATAAAAATAGAAAAAGTGTTAAAGCATGTTTTTAGTGGAAAATTTTGTTTTGAATATAATAAAGAAAAGATTTTTAAGTAAAAAAATAATATTTTTAATGAGGGAATTGATTATTGTGGCACATAAGGTAATTAATTGCGCGAAAATATGTAAAATAAAATAAATTTATTATAGTAAATAAATTGTTGTTAAAGAGTTAAATAAAAAATATTTAAAAAGTTATGGGTGAAAATGACAGATTTTCTAATGAAATGTAATTTTTTTTTAAATTTTGAAATCTTAAATTATTGTAGAGGAAATAGATACCAGGGATGAATAATTTTTAATTTTAAAAGTAAGAAGGAAGGACGAAGCGGAAGAATGCGGAATAAAATAAAAAATAGAAAACGGAACGCGGAGGCGGATCAATCCCTATTAATTAATTAAAAACAAATTTATTTAAACTATAATTTGGATAATTTTATAAAAATATTTTTAAACAACCTAAACATTTCTTTAGGAGAATACTTTTAAAATATAAAAGAAAAACTTTATAAAATAATCCAAAATAAGCATTTAAATTAGCTTAAAAGCATCTACATAAAACAAAATAAAAGTTTAAAAAAAGGAAATTGAGGTTCTTAAGAAAATTGGTGAAAACCTCCAATTTAAAATTAAATATATTTACTTAGTTAAAGTAGAAGATACAAGTTTGATACAAAACAGGAAATAAAAAAGGAAAGATTATAAAATGAAAGAAAAAGTTGGAGATTGGTAACGAAAAGTATGAAAAGTAACGATCTTTTAGAAAATTATTTTCTAATTATTTGCAATATTTGAAAAATTTTTGAACTTACTATGTGATACTTTTATAAAAAAATTTAAATAAAAAACTTTTAGTAATTTAAATTTACAGGTTTTTAACCTTATAGTAAAGTAAGTTAAAAACCTGTAAAGCCCCTATTTTTAACTTATATTTAAGGATAATTCATCGCGTAATAATTACCTCCCCCTCCCCTCCCCCGACTAATTACCCCCACTAATGAGATGTTGAAACAATAATTATCCACGGCAAATATTCATGGAAATACGGTAATTAATATTAAAAACAATTTAAAATACATTTAAGAAAACTTTAAATTTATTAGAAACTTTATTTTAATTTAAAAATTAAAAAATATTTTCTTACCATTATTTTTTGTTGTTTATTTAAACACCAATAAAAATGATTGTATTTTTTTTCTTAAATTAATAAAATTGTAACGGAGAATAAATGTTCCAAATTAAAAAAAATTAATTTATAAAAAAGAATTTAAAGGAATTTTTAGTTTAAGAAATACCCAAAAAATATATTGGTAAAAAATATTTTAACAAAAAATTATTGAAGAAAAAAAAAGGTTTATCAAAAATAAAGTTTTAAAGGAAAAAGTTGCAGAAGCACCACACCAAAAACAAAAAATAAAATCCCTAGAGAAAATTTAAAAAAATTTTTTTGGCAAAAATAAAAACAATAAATTTTCTTTGAAAATTGTAAAAATAGCTTTAAATATTTCTTTTGTCTTTTGGGATTTGATTTAAAAAACTTTAAACTTTTATTACTTCTGAGCAGTTATCTAATTTTTTATTTAAAAATTACCTACATATAAAAATTTTTTCAATCAAATTAACTAAATTATTTAAATATTTTTTTTTAATTTAAAAAGGCCAAAAACTCATCTAAGAAATAAACATTTTACTCGGCCTGAGATCCAAACTATCAATAGACAATTCTCGTAAGAAATAAAAGATATTTTTTCTATAAATATTTTTTTATTTCTATAAAATTTAAAATATATTTTTTTAAAATTCTTTGTAACATTTAATTATTACCCATTTTTTGATTTTTTTTTAATTTTTAAAATATAATTTTAATTTTTATTAAAGATATTATTTTTATTTATTCAAAATCGAATTTTAAAAAAACTATATTCCTAATTTTGCATTGTTTATTTTTAAAACATAAAGATCCTTTTTCTATTTACAACATTAAAAGATGTTGTGAACATATTTATAATATTTTTATTTTTTTAATTAAAGTAATTCTATTCCTTCAGTTTTTCTTTAATTTTTCGCTACATCAATTTGATTGAGACTAAAAATAAAAATTTATTTTTTCGCCAAAATCTTATTATTTTTAAGAACTAACAAAACAAAACATTCTTAAAACATCATTTTGAATTCTTTTATTTAACAACAAATAAATTATAGGTTTAAATCCATGAGTAAATAACCAACCAAACATCCCAAAATATATAATATATTCATTTACAGGAAAAAACTTTAAAAAAATATTTTTTAAATTTTCAACATTAATTATTACCTGCATATAAGCATAAACTGATCCAGCTAATATATTAAATGAACTTATTATCATTACTTGAGCGAATATCTATTTAAATAAACAAAAATGTATGTAATTTTACTTTGAGTTTAATTTTGATTTCTACTATTTTTAACCAAGCATCAATACCTTTTTCACTATATTTTCTTTTATTTAGTTATCAGGTTTTGAATAAAATTTTAGAATTAGAGATTAAGGTTTTATTAGAAATAAAAAATTTATTAAACATAATTCTAATTTTTAATTAAATTTTCTCAGATATACAGTCGAATCTCACTTTATAATCTCACCTAATCCCGCAATCTCTTCTACTATATAGCCTCTTCTAGAAAAAATTTGTCAGAAATTTGGGTACCGAAAGTGGGCGCTTTTCCCTCGTGGACAATAAAATAAAGAAATAAATCTAATTTTATAAATGAGATTTGACTTGGTATATAACCTTTTTTTGTGAAAAATTTGTTGATGTTGCTGCCGACATTAATGATTTTTTACAAAATAAGGCGATAAAAAAAGTAATATATAATCCTGGAAGGAATGTGGCAATCAGAAAATAGTTGAAAACGTCAATTTGATTTGTATACTTTAAATTTTAATTTATTTATAAAAAAACAGACAATATTTCCAAAATCCTCAATATATCCAATATGTGGATTAAAAAACCAAGAAAAATTAATTCCACTAAATAATACAGGAGTAAATGTTGTCCCAAAAATGAATGAGTAAATGAAGAGTATAATCAACCAAATCCAAGTTCTATATCCACGAAAAAGAATTTCACTAATTTCAGGCAATGAAATTTTAATACAACGATTAAATGCCAATAAAATGGCAGAAACTGATTCGTTCAACCATAAAGCTTGGAAAATTAAAAATATTTTAAATTATTAAGATCAGGATTGGTCTTGTTTGGGGACAAATATTTTCCTTCCTCCACGCCCTACCTATCTATTCTTATACCCGTTTATGTTTCCACATTCCTGAGCGGACCCCCTTAATTTAAAGCTTCTCACCATTACCAGCTACACCAGCAATATAAATCAAATTCGGAAAAGAACAGAAAACAGCTCCATATATTCCTAAAATAATTTTAATTAATTAATAGAGTTCAATCAGAACCTAAAATTCCCGTTATCAAACCACAAATAAATAAACAAATAATATCATTAATTCCCATGTAGAACATAATTTTATAACAAGAATCCTCCAAATGTTTACGAAATGTCTTCATGCAGAGAATATATAAAAACTTTAAAAATTTTTAAATATGCAATGTAGAACCAATCAATCCCGAACAAAAGTTTTCCGTCTAAAAAGTCCGGGGCTAGGCGAAGGAAAAATGAATTTTAAAAAACGTGAACTCCCTAGGAACTACAAATATTTTTAAAATAAATACCTCAAAAACTAAAAATAATATAACAAAAACAACACCAAGAAAAATTTTCTGTCGTTTCTCTAAAGGTATATCATCAATTCTGTACAAGCTACAATTATATAGACGTTGATATACTACATATGGTTTAAATAAATAAATATCCATTATTTGATTAATTAAATCCCCTATGTGAGGGATTGTTATTTTTAAATTAAAAGTTAGGTATGCTTTATTTATATTCAATGGATCCACTAAATGCTCGAATAATTATCCTTTCTCAAATTATTACTCCATTCAGAAAATACTTGAAACAATAATTACCCAGGGTAATTATCCAAGCATATACGGTACATATAATATGAATATGGCGTAGGAGAGATAAATGTAAACGTAAAGAAATTTAAAATGAATACATAAATATGTAATTATAGAAAAGCCAAGATTTATCAGGTAATATGTAAATGTTTCTTTTTCCTCAAATATTCCTTTTAGGCTAAACACGCAATTTGTAATTTTAGCCCACAAACTCTAAATTATAACTGTGAGATAAAAGTCTGGGTATTAGGTAATTCGTGGCAGGTACATATAATAATTACGCAATAATTATATACATAAAAATCTAATTATATATTAAATATATATGTATTTTTATTTCAATCGAAAAGTATATCCAGTGATTGAAAATGTTTTCAATAATTTTGAGCTAAAAGTCTGATCTACTGGAAATTTAGCCACACACTTTCAAGAGGCGCAAAATCAAGACGAGAGTCTAATCTATTTTTAATTTAGTATTTAATTCTTTATGGCCATTTATTACAAAATTTATTTTAACAAAAAATATTTAAACAAAATAAAGAGATTTAAAAATAAAAACAAGCTAAGAATAACCTGAATAACGAGATTTAAAATGTTTTTTATGTTTTTTATCTAATATTTATTTGTGTTGAAAATTCTGTAGTAATTCAACAGATTCCCCTCCCCATTCTTCCCTTTTATTCCAACCATTTTCTTTTTCTAATAATTGTCTATAACAACCAAGAATTTGTTCAACAAACTTTAAAAATTATTTTTTTTAATATCTTAAACAAATTTTCTACCTCAATACATGCCAAATGAGCTAATGTAAGATGAAAATTTGGAGAACATAAACTGTAATTATTTAGAAAAAGAATAATTAATAAACTTAAAAGTAATTAAAACTTTAAAAAGTAAACTTAAGTTTAATCTTAAAATGATCTTTAAAAATTTCAAACTTAGTCTTAACTTGAATTTAAAAATAAATGTTTTACCTCAAACAATGAGGAGGAATTTCACGTTTTATTTGCAAAAATGGATTTATCGGCAAATTTGAATTACTATTAATTAAACTTGAGGAGGCACAACATTGCCCTACAGAAGTAATGTTGTAGAAACGAGGAAAGCATTTAATAACACTTTGAAAAATATTTAAAATTAAATTATATAAAATTTATTATCCCCTACTTTGTTAGGCTTAAAGGAGGACAACGGCCAGATGACATTGCTTGTTTTATCTGCAATAGATGAAAGGATATCTTTATATTAAAATTTTGTTTCTTTCTAACCTGTTCTTTGCTTACATTCCTTGTACATAAAGGTCTATGTAAATTTAAATTTTTAAATTTATTTTTAACAAAAATAATTACCGGCATCCAAAAGATTGTTCTTGGCAACATTCAAGTAATCCATCAAGTCTAGAATTATCTACAATAATTTCAGAAACTCCATCTATATGTACCCAACCATCCCTTCTATTCCCAGTTTTCTTTATTGGAGAATTATTATTATTTAATGGAACAACCTAAATATTTTTTAAATTATTTTTTAAAATTCTTTTCAAACATTAAATTTTGGTGCTCTCACTAGTGGACTAGTTTCAATATTTTCTTTTTGATTAAAAGGCATTTGAAGCAAACTGACACCATTCTGCTGTTTTACTGGATTTTCGAATTCTTCCTGTGCAAAAGAGCCACCTCCTCCGATTGAAGTAGGGATTTCTTTGTGTTGTTGCTAATATATTGAGCAAAATATATATGAATATTAGACTGAAGACTATTTACCTTCACTTTATTTTCTAATAATTTTTCATTCCTCATTTCCTCTTCTTCTAATAAATTCCTTTCGATATTACCATTCTTTATTAATTTTTTAATTCCTAATTCTCGCCTATTATGTCCTCCTCTCCTTTGCCAATTTAATTTTTCTTTTAAATTGTTTTGTTGATTTAAAGGAGAATTATCAGTTGTTGAAGAAGTAATCGAATCGGTAAAGAATTAATCAATATCAGACCAATTTAAATTATTTTGGATTGGGGGAATTATTTCCTTAAAAATATTTTTAAATATATTTCTTTTAAAAATTTTTAAGTTAACGTGGCTAGAAGGATGAGAATTAACGTTAAAATAACCGTCATATTTTTTATTTTTATAATATATTTTTTAACTATTAAAAAGTTAAAAAAACCTTTGTACTGTTTGTATATTTTAAAGGTATTTTAATTCTTCTTCCAATCTGTTTTTGTCTAGTATTTATTTGCATTCTAAAAGGAACAAGTCTTTGACCATTTTGTTGTTTTTTCTTTACTGGGAAAGGAACTAGACGAGGTGTTGACGTTGTTTTTTGATTATATATTAATTTTAAAGAGAAAAATTTTAAATTGAAGAGCCGAATGATCATAGTTGAGAATATCGTAAATAAAAGGAAGAGAAAATTTTGGAGAAAACTCAATCCCGCCACTCTTCTCAATAAACGGCTTAAAATCATTTGCATTTACGGACAAGCCTTTGCCTAAAATGGATTTTAATAAAAGTTTAGCGGGAAAAAGTGATATTTTTAAATCAAACCTAGAATTGTGGTATTCTTTGTGAAGAAGACCGTAGGTCGTGAATATATGCCAGGGGGACTAAAAACAAAAGCAAGACCATACGTCGCATTTTTCTCAATTCCATTGCGGTCCAGTTGGATCTCCCCAAAACGACCATGCTCAATAAATACCTTCGAAGCCAAAACAAATTTTATATCAATTGTCTCACCAAGTCCAATTCTAAGGCTGCAAAAATAAATTTAGTAAAAAACTTTAAGAAATATTCAGAAGTTCTTATTTTCGGTGGATATTTTCTAAAAATGAAACATTTTAAAGAGAAAACGTGCAGATATTTATAGGAAGCCCTCCCTACTTTATAGATAGAAATTACCCGTTGCCACCAAACTCAGGCACGTGCGTAATGGTAATCTCAAAGAAAAACATGGAATAGCAGTAGAGGTCAGACGCCACGATTGAATGATCCGGTAACTGTAGCCAATGTCCTATCACGATTGTAAGACAACGTGATGTTTAGATCAATAAAACGCTAAAATTTAAATAATCATTATAGTTCACTAAAAATATACTCTTGAGGAAAAAATTTCCGTCTAATTAGAAACTTTGAAAAAAACAAGACCAATTCGGGAAAGAAAACGTATCGAGAGACCGGGACCACAAATGTCAGATTTTTCTCAGTCAGAATAGAAACCCGTGACAGATTAACCAATGGAAAAAAATCCAAGACTTTACCCATAAATCAACATTTTTCAGAAAGAAATAGAAGAACCCACAACAGTAGTGTTCTGTAACTTCTCCAGCTCAGCTTTTAATGGAGCTATAAGATTCTCAACACCGTCTGTAGATTGTCCCAACGCTGCCAACTGATTTCGAAAATTATCGTTCGGTGCAAGTTGAGGCAGAATTTCACGAATACTAACGTAATTGTGTTGATTCTGTAAAAAATACATCAATTGTTTCACCAAGTCCAATTTTAAAGCTACAAAAATGAATTTCGTAAAAAACTTTCAAGAAATTTAAGTTCTAATTCGGGGTTAACTGGGTGTTCTTAATTAGGATTCGAACTTTACAGTTATTAAGTGGTCAGTGGCCTCCGTACTACCAAATCCCACCCTTATAATAACATAAATACTGGACTTTCTTCTCTCCGCTCCTCTTCTGTGAAGGTGATTTTTTGTCAAAGAATAAAATTATTTTTAAACGTAAATTTGTAATGAGAATGCAAAAAAAGCAAAAGAAGATAAGTATTAAATTGAATCCAAAAACGACGCTTTTGCATTAATTTCTTAAAATTAATTCCCCTTTTGTACAAATTCCAACGGCTAATCCATCCTTTATTTACATGTTTAATTGCATAAACTTTTTGACACAACCGTGCCGAAGGGAGCTGAGAGAAGGGAAAAATTACGTAAGATACTCCTTGCTTTTAACGCGGACAAGAATTTCTGACTTAATATGGCATGACGAGGAGAAAATGTCATTCTGTATTCCCACCAAATAATTAATAAAAAAAAGCTAAAAAACCTTTCTAAACTTTTGCTTCCATCCAAATCAACAAGAGTCCGCTCCATAGTAAACTAAAAATAAATTTAAAAATTATGTATTTTAAATTCTAAACCTTCTCCCATAGAACAAGAAGGAGATTTGAATAGTTTTGCGTTGATAAATTGACAGAATTATAATAAAAAAACATCTATTTTATTTCAATTACTCGAGAGGATAATGTCCTTCCTTAAAATGATATAAATTTGAAATGTGTTTGAAAATTTGAAAAAGATGACGTGTAAATTCGATTAAAATAAACATTCTAATACCGAACTAGTTAAATCTAACAACTTTTAAAAGGAGGGATAAAATTCTAAACCCAATCTCAATTACGGCTATACAAAGGATCATTTTTTAAAGGATCGCCCTGTTAAAGGATCGTCACGGGCAAAAAGCATTAAAGGGCCGTTCATTAAAGGATCGTCCATCAAAGGATCGCCACGGGTAAAAACGTTTTAAAATTGCATAAAGCCGTTTCAGTGCCACCAATTAGGGTGCAGTTATTAGAGTTAGGAGCGGGTCCGGGACCCGGTTTCCGGGTCCTTTTTCTCGGTTTTTTTTAAGTAACCGAGTTGAAATCAGGAACGGGTTTTCCCGGACCCGGTTCCCGCCCGGTCCATTTTTCAGAACCCATTTCCCGGACCCGGTCCCGGCTTTTTTTTCACCGGGAAGCCGGGAAAAATATTTAGTGTATTTGCGTACTTTGATATTAAATTTTTGAAGGAAAAGGGAAAGGAATATTTATACGGATTGTCCACTGACGGATTGTCCGGTCACGGTTTAGTAAATAGCAAGTTAGAAAGCCTCTTTTCTAATTTTGCTCCTTAACTTCCCACTTCCCTTTTAATACTTATAATGTGTGAGGAAAAGAATGATTGACAGTAAAAAAAGGAAAATTAATATGAGACTCAAATAGGGGTGGGGTGGGATATTAATAAAGTACCGAAGGTAGTTAGGTAATTGAGCAAATATTTTACAAATCAAATACAAAAAATAAAAACTTAAAATTCAATGAAAAAATTTTAGTAAGAATCACATTTGTTTTAAACATAACACAATTCCCTTATGGCCTGGGCCTGTACTATAAGAACGTGGTTAGGTGACCAGGGTAGCGGCGGCGCCGACTCAAATAGGGATAAAAGGAGGAGAAAATTTTTACAAAAATGAACTTTCAAAGCATCGGGTTTGGCGTCGCCGTTTTTCCTCATTTCTCCCTGTTTAGGAAAAAATTATGATTTTTTTTAATGGAGGGCTAAAAACTATTTTATTTTTTCCAATATTTTCCAAACATTTATTAAACCAAACTTTATTTTTTTTTTTTCTTTATCGAACACAAATAAATAAGTGTGAAACAATAAAATAAAAACTCCTGGATCCACAGGGATCACTTATGGAGAGGTAACGTACAAAAAAAATCAAATACAATATGACAGATTTTTTAAAAAAAAATGATAAGTTAGAAAAAAAATAAATAATGGACTCCACAGAAAAAAAAAATAAATTAAATGTATGAAATTAAAATGTTATAAAAAATATATGTAGGTATATTTAGGTGTATAAAAAAATATTTGTATTGAACACAGGTAATTTTATTTAAATGTTAAGTAAACTTGTTTTGATAAGAAAGTGAACATTTGGGTTAAGATTTTATGTTAATACACTCCATTAATTCATACTCATAAATTATAATCTTCTGTAGTTAATATTTTGTCTAAAAATTTTTTAAATTGCGGTATAGTATTGATTTTCTCAATTTCTTTTTTTGGAAGTTTATTCCATCTATCTATGACTCTATGTGAAAAGAAATGATTATTTTTGGCTTGCTTTTTAAATAGCTGATATTTATGTAAGCGCGGATTAATTCTATTAGGTTTTGAAAATATTTTTTCTGGATTTATTTTATAGAAACCCATGATTATTTTGTAGGTTGTCATAAGATCAGTTTTTATACGACGGAGATTGGAGGGAAGGAGTTTGCATCTTTTTAGTCTTTCGTTATATTCTATTTTCTGGTATTTGTATTTATATCTTAAAATTCTCCTTGTAAAGCTTTTTTGTGGTCTTTCTAATTGTTTATTAAGATATTCTAATTTGGGGCTAAAATTTTCGGTGGAATACTCCATAATTGGTCTTACGTATGTTTTGAATGCCTTTACATATGTTTCTATTGGTAATGTTTTTGGTAATATTCCTAGGATATTGTTAATTCTTATAAATGAGGATTTAGTAATTTTTGATATATGATGATCAAACTTTAGCTTGTTATCTATGTATATCCCTAGATCTCTTATGTTATTAACCTCTTCGATTTTTTTACCATTTATCTCATAGTTAAACTTAATTTTGTTGTATATTTTTAAAACCTTTACTTTTGCTATAGAGAATTTAAGTTGATTCATTTCTGCCCATTTACACGCATTGTCTATAGCCCCCTGTAACTCTATACAGTCCTTTTCCGTCTTAATTTCTGAATAAATCTTAAAATCGTCCGCATAAAGTTTTACTTTAACATTTTGTGGAATATATTTTGGAAGGTCATTTATATAAATTAAGAAAAGTAATGGACCTAAGACCGTCCCTTGTGGGACTCCTGTTTTTGGGATAAATGGTTCGGAAAAATGTTCTTCTATTTTTACACTATGTGATCGATTTGAGAGAAAATTCGCTACCCATTGAATTATTAATCGATCTATTTTTAATTCTTGCAATTTTCTAATTAGTATTTCGTGGTTTACTTTATCAAAGGCTTTCTCAAAGTCAAAATATATAACATCTGTACCTATTTTCCTGTCAAGTGAACTATACCAGTCTTGCATCGATGACAAGATTTGAAGTGTACAAGAGCTTTTAGGTAAAAATCCAAATTGCTCTTCTGCGATTAATTTTTGTTTGTTAAGGTGTTCTAAGATATTATTTGCTATAATGCGCTCAAAAACTCTACAAGTAGGGGATGTTAAAGCAATTGGTCTATAATTTGTAGGGTCATTCAATGAACCATTTTTTTTAAATATAGGCAGAATATGTGCCATTTTCCATAATTCAGGAACAATTCCTGTCTTAAATGTCTTCTCAAATAAGATTGATAGAGGAAGAGCTAGTGGTGTAGCACATTTTTTAAGAAAATATTGATTAGCAATTTCAGGGCTGTGAGACAATTTATTTGGGAGCTTTTTGAGTAATTTTTCTATAATATATGGTTCAAAAATATTTTCACCACCCCTATATGCATCTTCAGCATCAAAGCTTACATGTTTATGGCTTGTATCTCCGCTAACGACTTCTTCGAAAATAGTTTTAAATTTTCTAGCTTTGTCAGTGTCATATACTATAGGTTCACTTTCCTCAGATTCTTTAAGTATTGGTATACCAGAGAAGTTAAATTTTTTCCTTTTAATTAATTTATGTATCTCCCCTATGTGGCCTGATCCTATCTTTTTTGATAGATAATCGTTTCTATATTTTTGAGTTTTCAATTTACATTTAATTTCGAAACTTTTATATTCATCCCGGCTAATTTCTCCTAATTTTAACTTTTTCCATTCAAGGGACTTTTGTTTGATGGTTTCTCTAATTTCTTTGGGGTATTTTATGGGTATTTTTTCACCAAATTTTTTAAAAGGTACGAATTTTTGTATTGCTTGTGTCATTATGTTATTTAGTATTTCAGTTATTTCTGAAGGATTTTTATTATTTAATAAGTTATACCAGTCATATTGTGCTAGATACCAATTGATTGCCTTATATTTTCCTTTTTTAAATAATAATACTTTCCTTTTTTCCCTAGATGTTATTTTTTCAATTGGGAAGACTAACTCGAATACTATAGGTTTGTGATCACTTAAAATTAAATTACTCTCAATTTTATAGTTTTCGACTAATTGTTTGTTTTGGAGAACCAGGTCTAGTGTATGGTCATTATTGTACATTGTTGCTCCTTTTATTATCTGATTTAGATTTAGTTCATTCATAGTATTGTAAAAATATAAGCTCTGTTTATCTTTAGGAAATGCAAACTCCTGCCAATTAATTTTCGGATAGTTTAAGTCCCCTAATATGATAGTTGAAACTTCGTTTTTATATTTTTGCTTTATTAGACGCCAAAATTTTTTATCATCGGTTAATTTAGTATTAGGCGGCCTATATATTAAATGGAATCTAATTCTTTTAAATTCTGAGTAAATATCAAAAGTTAGTAGTTCATGATTAAATTCTGATACTGAAAGGTTTGGTACAGTTACGATTTTTAGTTCCTTCCTATAAAATACACCTACACCTCCGCCTCTAGCTTTAACTCTATCTACTCTTAAGAATTTATAGTTATCGGAGATTAAAAGAGTTTCGCTGGATATTTGATCATTTAGCCAGGTTTCACATAAAAATGTGAGATAAATATTGTTTTTATTTAGATAAGTTTCTAGCTCAAATAATTTATATGCGATTTTATCTGAATTAATGGAGCGTATATTTAGAAGAAGGCATTTAAAATTTTTAAATTTGCTTATATTTTTTTGAATATTTTTCTGTGAGGTCCCTAAATCCTAGTCCAAGTTCACTTTCTTTTTATAATAAATTTTAAGATTACGGTAACATGCAGTGCCATTTCCATGTTTATGATTGATTTCCTTAACCTGCTGTTTAAGGAAGTTTTGTAGTTGTAGTTCAGGAGGGGTCAAGTCCCTTCTTGCGAATGGACTATGCCCACCTAATTTAGGTTGGTGTATGGCTCTATATTGATTGATAAAAGAATGTGCTGCAGAAGGAGTCGAAAATTTTACTTTGATGATGCGGTTGTAATTATTTTTCTTCTTAATTCCGTGCCTTTTTACTTCGAAAGTCTTAATATCCTTGAAATTTTTGTCATTTACCACCATCTGAACGTTTTTTTCTATAGCTTTAATGTCTTCTTCTTCGTTTTCTAATTCAGGAAATCTTTCGATTACTGCGTAGAATTTCTTCTTTTCATAAAGTTCCTTGAGTTTCTCATCGAATATAGGCTGATGAAGGTGTTCAATTGTTGTAGCAGCTTGTTGAATTTTTGGTGGCATTAGATTGGGGGGACATCCCCATCTTGATGTTTGCTGTTTGAGTTCAAAAGTTTGTTGACTGTTGCTAGTTTGCTGATTTAATTGTTGAAAAAGAGTTTTAATTGTTGTTTCGATTATTGGTGTAAGAAGTTGAACCACATTACGAGAAATTTGTTCAAGTTGTTCTGGTGATAAAAGCGGTGCTTTATCACTTTCACTATCCAAACTGATCGATTTATCACGTTTTCTTTTTTCGTTTCCCATGGAGATTATTTTTTTTTAAATATTTAGGAGGAATGAAAAATTAGGAGGAATGAAAAATTAGGAGGAATGAAAAATTAGGAGGAATGAAAAATTAGGAGGAATGTATGAATTAGGATGATGAATTTATGTATGAATTAGGAATGTATGAATTAGGAGGAATGTATGAAAAATTAGGAGGAATGTAAAAATTAGGAGGAAACAGTAGTGTTCTGTAACTTCTCCAGCTCAGCTTTTAATGGAGCTATAAGATTCTCAACACCGTCTGTAGATTGTCCCAACGCTGCCAACTGATTTCGAAAATTATCGTTCGGTGCAAGTTGAGGCAGAATTTCACGAATACTAACGTAATTGTGTTGATTCTGTAAAAAATACATCAATTGTTTCACCAAGTCCAATTTTAAAGCTACAAAAATGAATTTCGTAAAAAACTTTCAAGAAATTTAAGTTCTAATTCGGGGTTAACTGGGTGTTCTTAATTAGGATTCGAACTTTACAGTTATTAAGTGGTCAGTGGCCTCCGTACTACCAAATCCCACCCTTATAATAACATAAATACTGGACTTTCTTCTCTCCGCTCCTCTTCTGTGAAGGTGATTTTTTGTCAAAGAATAAAATTATTTTTAAACGTAAATTTGTAATGAGAATGCAAAAAAAGCAAAAGAAGATAAGTATTAAATTGAATCCAAAAACGACGCTTTTGCATTAATTTCTTAAAATTAATTCCCCTTTTGTACAAATTCCAACGGCTAATCCATCCTTTATTTACATGTTTAATTGCATAAACTTTTTGACACAACCGTGCCGAAGGGAGCTGAGAGAAGGGAAAAATTACGTAAGATACTCCTTGCTTTTAACGCGGACAAGAATTTCTGACTTAATATGGCATGACGAGGAGAAAATGTCATTCTGTATTCCCACCAAATAATTAATAAAAAAAAGCTAAAAAACCTTTCTAAACTTTTGCTTCCATCCAAATCAACAAGAGTCCGCTCCATAGTAAACTAAAAATAAATTTAAAAATTATGTATTTTAAATTCTAAACCTTCTCCCATAGAACAAGAAGGAGATTTGAATAGTTTTGCGTTGATAAATTGACAGAATTATAATAAAAAAACATCTATTTTATTTCAATTACTCGAGAGGATAATGTCCTTCCTTAAAATGATATAAATTTGAAATGTGTTTGAAAATTTGAAAAAGATGACGTGTAAATTCGATTAAAATAAACATTCTAATACCGAACTAGTTAAATCTAACAACTTTTAAAAGGAGGGATAAAATTCTAAACCCAATCTCAATTACGGCTATACAAAGGATCATTTTTTAAAGGATCGCCCTGTTAAAGGATCGTCACGGGCAAAAAGCATTAAAGGGCCGTTCATTAAAGGATCGTCCATCAAAGGATCGCCACGGGTAAAAACGTTTTAAAATTGCATAAAGCCGTTTCAGTGCCACCAATTAGGGTGCAGTTATTAGAGTTAGGAGCGGGTCCGGGACCCGGTTTCCGGGTCCTTTTTCTCGGTTTTTTTTAAGTAACCGAGTTGAAATCAGGAACGGGTTTTCCCGGACCCGGTTCCCGCCCGGTCCATTTTTCAGAACCCATTTCCCGGACCCGGTCCCGGCTTTTTTTTCACCGGGAAGCCGGGAAAAATATTTAGTGTATTTGCGTACTTTGATATTAAATTTTTGAAGGAAAAGGGAAAGGAATATTTATACGGATTGTCCACTGACGGATTGTCCGGTCACGGTTTAGTAAATAGCAAGTTAGAAAGCCTCTTTTCTAATTTTGCTCCTTAACTTCCCACTTCCCTTTTAATACTTATAATGTGTGAGGAAAAGAATGATTGACAGTAAAAAAAGGAAAATTAATATGAGACTCAAATAGGGGTGGGGTGGGATATTAATAAAGTACCGAAGGTAGTTAGGTAATTGAGCAAATATTTTACAAATCAAATACAAAAAATAAAAACTTAAAATTCAATGAAAAAATTTTAGTAAGAATCACATTTGTTTTAAACATAACACAATTCCCTTATGGCCTGGGCCTGTACTATAAGAACGTGGTTAGGTGACCAGGGTAGCGGCGGCGCCGACTCAAATAGGGATAAAAGGAGGAGAAAATTTTTACAAAAATGAACTTTCAAAGCATCGGGTTTGGCGTCGCCGTTTTTCCTCATTTCTCCCTGTTTAGGAAAAAATTATGATTTTTTTTAATGGAGGGCTAAAAACTATTTTATTTTTTCCAATATTTTCCAAACATTTATTAAACCAAACTTTATTTAAAATAATTTATAACACCAACAAAATCATTTTTCAAAAAACAAATTTATCAAATAACCTTTAGATTAACAACTTCTTTTTATCAATCCTCACCCAAAAAATCATCATCGTCATATAATTGAAGAGCCGAATGATCATAGTTGAGAATATCGTAAATAAATGGAAGAGAAAATTTTGGAGTAAACTCAATCCCACCACTCTTCTCAATAAATGGCTCAAAATCATTTGCATTTACGGACAACCCTTTGCCTAAAATGAATTTTAATAAAAGCCTAGTGGGAAATATTTTAAAATCAAACCTAGAATTGTGGTATTCTTTGTGAAGAAGACCGTAGGTCGTGAATATATGCCAGGGGGACTAAAAACAAAAGCAAGACCATACGTCGCATTTTTCTCAATTCCATTTCGGTCCAGTTGGATCTCCCCAAAACGACCATGCTCAATAAATACCTTCGAAGCCAAAACAAATTTTATATCAATTGTCTCACCAAGTCCAATTCTAAGGCTGCAAAAATAAATTTAGTAAAAAACTTTAAGAAATATTCAGAAGTTCTTATTTTCGGTGGATATTTTCTAAAAATGAAACATTTTCAAGAGAAAACATGCAGATATTTATAGGAAGCCCTCACTACTTTATAGATAGAAATTACCTATTGCCACCAAACTCAGGCACGTGCGTAATGGTAATCTCAAAGAAAAACATGGAATAGCAGTAGAGGTCAGAAGCGCCACGATTGAATGATCCGGTAACTGTAGCCAATGTCCTATCACGATTGTAAGACAACGTGATGTCTCGGTCAATAAAACGCTAAAATTTAAATAATCATTATAGTTCACTAAAAATATAATTTTGAAGCAAAAATTTCCGTCTAATTAGAAACTTTGTAAAAACAAGACCAATTTAGGATAGAAAAACGCATTGAGAGACCGGGACCACAAATGTCAGATTTTTCTCAGTCAAAATAGAAACCCGTGACAGAGCATTCATTTAAATTAACCAACGGAAAAGAATCCAAGACTTGACCCATAAATCAACATTTTTCAGAAAAAACTAAAAGAACCTACAACAGTAGTGTTCCGCAAGTTCTCAAGCTCAGCATTTAATGGAGCTATAAGATTCTCAACATTGTCTGTAGATTGTTCCAACGCTGCCAACTGATTTCGAGTATACTCGAGCGGTGCAAGTTGAAGCAGAATTTCACGAATTCTAACGTAATTGCGTTGATTCTGTAAAAAAGTACAGATTTTATAAAAATGTAGTTTAGAAAGTTAACCACATTTAAACAGAAAAACGTACCATTTCAATAATTTGTTTTAGGCACCAATTCTATAAAATAAAAATAAAATTAATTTTGAACTCTACAGTTCTCGTCCTCCCTTCCTCCCAATTTTACTTTTTATGTGACTAGTAGATTAAACAAAACGAATTAAAAACTTATTTAACATGCTTACGAGGAACATGAAAAATCACTTAACATATACAAAAAAAAATAAAAATTGGGGAGAAGGAAAAAGTTAACCAAAAAATTATTAAAAATAATTTGGAAACTCAAATAAAAGAATATGTACGTTATGCCATATTATTTTAATTTGCGCGAACTTTAAATTTTTATATTGGACACTTGAGCGCATCTCTAGAGCGCCTATCGAATTTGTTATAACTTTTTTAGTTGTTATCCAATCCAACTGAATCTTATATATTTGAAAGCTCTCGCTAAGCTGTATTTTTTTCACCTGCATAGATCATGTCTGATCCCTCTTTAAAAAGTTATAACCCAATAAATTTGAAAACACTAGTCCATTTAGTTGAAAAATGATACCACTTAGTGAGGGCTTCTGAATGACATAAGATTCAGTTGGATTGGATCAAGGATAAAGTTTTAGCCGAGGTGACACGACTTTTCGTCAATAGAATTTCCGTCAATTATTTTCGTCAATGAATGAATGTTTTAAAGAAGATTTAGATACATTACAAAAAATACAGAAAATACTCCCGTATGTGGGATCGCGCAAACACGATTTTTCCAGTCTATACCGTATATACTGTATTAATTACCCTGCTCAATTATTGTTTCAATCACTCGCTGGAGGGGGTAATAAAAGCAGGCTGGGTAATTATTTGAGGGAGGGCAATTATTATTTGACTGTAAATTTTTAATTTTATCATAAATATATGAACAGTTTTTTCTCTAAATATACTTTTTATAATGTACTTACATTCTCTAAATATACACTCCTCCACAAAAGTATAAGGGCACTTGTATTTTTGCAATTTTTTTACTTCCAATGATCCAAATTTTCTGAAAATTTAGATTCACACCTTTTAGTGAATAACTAATAAGATGCGCATCGATTTTTGGCTGATTTTTTATTTTAAAAATTTTTAGACCAAAAATTTGCATTTTCGGCCTCCACAAAAGTATAGGGGCACTTACAAAAAAGATATTTCCAAGATTAGAAAAAATCTACAAAAATTCTAGCAAACATACATAATGATATTATGAAAAAATAAAAAAGAACTAGACCCATATCTTTACCCTGAGCCGAGATCCTGAGACCCCGAAAATCAACGTAAATCAAGGGTAAGGCTTTTTAAAAAAATTTTCGACCCCTTATGGATGGTGTTGAATTTTGATTTTGGGCTCATTCGAAAGCCCTTGAAATTTGCTACAAGATAGCAAAAGTTTTATTTTCTAGAAAAATTATCTCAGTAAGTTCCTAAGGTTTAAATTTCTAAGGCACAAAAATCGCCCTAATGCCCCATAAAATTAGCTACGGAAGATTAACGTCCTGCATATCTCTATTGAATTGATTCTGAGATATACGAGCTCATTCGAAAGCCCTTGAAATTTGCTACAAGATAGCAAAAGTTTTATTTTCTAGAAAAATTATCTCAGTAAGTTCCTAAGGTTTAAATTTCTAAGGCACAAAAATCGCCCTAATGCTCCATAAAATTAGCTACGGAAGATTAACGTCCTGCATATCTCTATTGAATTGATTCTGAGATATACGAGCTCATTCGAAAGCCCTTGAAATTTGCTACAAGATAGTAATACTCGTATATCTCAGAATCAATTCAATAGAGATATGCAGGACGTTAATCTTCCGTAGCTAATTTTATGGGGCATTAGGGCGATTTTTGTGCCTTAGAAATTTAAACCTTAGGAACTTACTGAGATAATTTTTCTAGAAAATAAAACTTTTGCTATCTTGTAGCAAATTTCAAGGGCTTTCGAATGAGCCCAAAATCAAAATTCAACACCATCCATAAGGGGTCGAAAATTTTTTTAAAAAGCCTTACCCTTGATTTACGTTGATTTTCGGGGTCTCAGGATCTCGGCTCAGGGTAAAGATATGGGTCTAGTTCTTTTTTATTTTTTCATAATATCATTATGTATGTTTGCTAGAATTTTTGTAGATTTTTTCTAATCTTGGAAATATCTTTTGTAAGTGCCCCTATACTTTTGTGGAGGCCAAAAATGCAAATTTTTGTCTAAAAATTTTTAAAATAAAAATTCAGCCAAAAATCGATGCGCATCTTATTAGTTATTCACTAAAAGGTGTGAATCTAAATTTTAAGAAAATTTGGATCATTGTAAGTAAAAAAATTGCAAAAATACAAGTGCCCTTATACTTTTGTGGAGGAGTGTACTTTTTATAATGTACTTAAAGGTGGGACCATACCATTATTAATTCCGTCTTCGGATATAAAAAGTCACCTAGTCAATCGAAAATTATGGAGTATAGGCCGATGCCGAATATGAAGGGTAAAAGTTAGTATAATTTCTTCTTTAATGCGATTGAAGAAGAAATTATTTTTCGATATTGATCCTTAAATGCTTAAGAAATAAAATGGTAATCTAGATAGATTTGAGGAATTTTTTGGGAGATGTAAGGTTGATAATAAAGGAGATATAATGGGACTTGGAGGGATTAAGAGGTATCTCAACGGTATCAACGAATTAATTGGATCTGGAAGATTAATGTGGATTTATTCGAGGATATAAAGATTAGGAGTGATATCGGAGCATTAATGTGTATAATCTTAGATCAAATAGATCCATTTTAATTACTCAAAATCTCTCCAAATCCTCATAATCTCTCTTAATTCTCATAAATTCCGCGATATCCCTTCCAAATCCTTTTATTTTCTTGATTTAATTTTTATATTGATCCTTAAAATGCACATTATCAAAACATAATGATTTTTAAAAAATATTTTCAAACTTAGCCTAGGAAAAATAGGGAGTAATTATTTAAGGGAGGGCAATTATTGTTTCGATCTCGCTGGAGGGGTTAAATAATAGAGGTTGGGTAATTATTTGAGGGAGGGTAATAAATACAGTATATACTAGAGCCCGGCTCGATACGATATTTTTTCGATATTTTTCGATATTTTTCGATAGATATTTTTCGATATTATCGAAAAAATATCGACCGAGAAAATTTTGGGTATTTCGATATTTTTCGATATTCGGTATTTTTCGATATTTATTGAAAAAATATCAACCGAAAAAATTTAAAAATCGAAACGATCGACCGACCAAATTACAAAAAATCGAAAAAAATATCGAACGTCAATTTTGACAAAAATTTGATTTTTTGTCGCCAAAAGGATGCATTTTTGCTTCTTGACCATCGGAAATTCAAAAAATTTTCGCCTGCGCGCAAGAAAAGGAGAAAGGTTTCTTCTATATTCACGATTTAGTTTGCCAAGGCGAGATGAGAGTGTGATATGGTCCTCATAAAACTAGGTGCAAAAAAGTCCTCATAAAACCAGGTCCCCTTAATCCATCATATTCCCTCGATATCCCTACAAAACACTGATATGAATTAAGATCCGTCATGATCCTTGGATATCTCAAATATAGATTAAGAGGGTAGATTAAGGGAGATTTCAGTGGTTTAAGAGTAATTTGATGGGATATACGATGATTTGGTGGGATATTTGAGATATCCAAGGATCAATACGGATATTGTGGATATCCAGGGTAATCGACTATTTGTATAACTAATAGAGGATTAAGTGGATAAAATGGATCTCGAGGGATCAAGACGGAGCTTTGTGAGAGATGGATTTCAAAACGGATATCAATATCCACCTTAATTCCTTAATATCCATTATCTCTAGTTAAAATCCACTTATATCCCCTTGATCATTCGATATCTAATACAAGGTCCATTGATATTACAATTAATCCGACCAAATTTACCAATATACATTTAATCAATCTTAATCTCATTAAACTATTAGGTCTATTCTGTTATTCATTGGTTATAGAATAATTTTTGAAAAATCGAAAAATATCGAGACTTTTTTTTCGATATTTTTCGGTTTCGATATTTTTCGATATTTATCGAAAAAATATCGACCGAGAAAATTTTGGGTTTTTCGATATTTTTCGATATTCGGTATTTTTCGGTATTTATCGAAAAAATATCGACCGAGCCCTCCGTCCGGGCTCTAGTATATACGTTAATTTAAATTAAACCCGATTTTAATAATTCTTATACTGATCGAGATATCTGAATGTGTTAACAATTTTTCTCTAATCAGATCATCATATTAAAGTTATAGCTAAGTAAAACTCTAAAATAACAATTGCGCTCACTTAATAGGCTGTATGATGAATTTTTATTTCGCTAAGGAAATGTGAATTTTCAGCGGCAATTCCCGTTCAAAAATACCCAGTACCCGACTGAAAATGTTATCTCAAAAAACCGGGAAAAAGATGGAAAATCGGGAAACTATTATGAGTTCCAATCAGACCTTGGCGAAACTCCAAATTTTTTCGGACGAAACGAAACGAAACAAAAATTTTTAAAAATCTTTTCGTTAAAAAAACGAACAGTCAAAATCTAATTTAAGGTATGAGAATGCCCCCCCCCTACCTCTAAGGTACGAGAAAGGCTTTTTATATATTCTTCAAGAAATACCTTTCTTTGTTTGAAAGTAGATCCAATAATGTTGTACATTATACTTGAGGTAGTCAACATATTTTTAGCGTATTTTTTGAATTTATTATTTACTGGTATATTTACATATGAATATGGAAAGGATTTTATTGTTTTTAATATTTCAAAAAGTAATTCAATAGGAATTGCCATATTATTATGTTCTTTTTTTAATTTTATAGTTACAGTCAACCTCGCTTTTAAATAGAGTAGGTCGATGTCGAGGCCTCGCCGAGGCCGAAGTCTTCGCCCATTTTCAAACCTCGACCTCGATTTTGCTGACATCGGGTCTCGGAACCTTGTCTCGGTCCTCGCCAAGGACCGAAGCCCTAAGGACTGACTTTTTTGGCAGAAATTGAAGTATTTTGGCCTATTTTTCTTCAGAAAATTCTCAAGTTTTCCTGCGGCGCTGGAAATTGACGTTAGAGATTATCCTTGTGCATTGGAATTCAGTTTAGTTTTCTTGGAATTCTGGCTCTTAGCATCCCAAAATTTTCAAAATCTTCCCTCGCGGAGCTAATAAAAAATTTGGGGTTTTTGAATTGTTTCCAAGATCCGCATCTAAACTGACGCTTGGGCTACCTCCTAATCTGATAAAATTAAAAAGATGAATTTGATAACGATTTTGTATTTTTGTAAAATTTTATAAACTTAATTAGATATTGAAGTTCTATAAAATTTTTTAAGAACCTCGGTTATCCTCGAACCTCTACTTTGGCTAAAATTTTCCCCTCGCCTCGGTGATCTTCGGCCTCTATTTCTTCAAAAAACCTCGACCTCGACCTACTCTGCTTTTAACTACACTTTAAGATGAAAAATTATATCTTATAATGAGGTATCTTGAATAGCTGGTAACGCTTATTGTTAGACCGCTCTCCACGCCCTCAAAATCTCAAGAAACGGTTTTTAAAATGAAGAAAATGCCTGACTTTGGGGTATATAAAAATAATATCTGACTAAAAATAAATTGTTGGAGATTGAATACTATATTAGAAAATTAAACTTTTTGAATGTTTAATTTTAATAATTTTATTAGGGTTGTTCACGATCAGTTTAAAACCGAAAAGTTTGAAATTTTTTGCCAAAAATTAACCGTTTTTACAAAATTTAAAAAACCGAAAATTTCTGAAAATGAGGATTTTATTAAAAATTCCTCCAAAATAAAACCAGTATTTGTCTAAAACTCAAAACCGAAAACCGGCTTTTTAAAATTTAGATTAACCGAAAACCGTGGGTACTGGTCAATAACCGGTAGTGAACCCCTAATTTTATGAAAAACAATCTCTACACTGATATTTACTATGTATATAAGTATATAAATCAAAAACCATAAATATTAATTATACTCTCAATTTTTTATCTATTTAGGAGTAAATATTAAATGTGCATAACTTATTCATTCTTAAATAATACTACAATAAAATGGGTAGTTTTTCCTTCATTGTTTGACCTCTTCCTTTGTTAAGGTGTTTGACATTTATTAAGCCTTTGTTGTTTTATATTATTTATATAATGATGTTTGATTATTTATTTTTTTGTTCTTTCAACTAATTTAAATTATGTATGTATATTTCTTTTTGTTCTATTTAATCCGCATTAAGTAGTTAAAAATATTTTTATGTACGAGTCGAGTCGATTTGCTCGTACTCGTACGCAGGTACGAGTACGAATTCTGGTACAAGCTCCAAACACTACATGAGACCAAGAGGAGTCTCATCTATTTCTCAATCTATTATTTAATCATCTCAAACAACCCCGCATTAATTACAAAATTTATTTTAACAAAAAATATTTAAACAAAATAAAGAGATTTAAAAATAAAAACAAGCTAAGAATAACCTGAATAACGAGATTTAAAATGTTTTTTTTGGTTTTTTATCTATTTGTGTTGAAAATTCTGTAGTAATTCAACAGATTCCCCTCCCCATTCTTCCCTTTTATTCCAACCATTTTCTTTTTCCAATAATTGTCTATAACAACCAAGAATATGTTCAACAAACTTTAAAAATTTTTTAATATCCTAAACAAATTTTCTACCTCAATACAGGCTAAATGAGCTAATGTAAGATGAAAATTTGGAGAACATAAACTGTAATTATTTAGAAAAAGAATAATTAATAAATTTAAAAGTAATTAAAACTTTAAAAAGTAAATTTAAGTTTAAACTTAAAATAAATTTTAAAAATTTCAAACTTAGTCTTAACTTGAATTTAAAAATAAATGTTTCACCTCAAACAATGAGGTGGAATTTCACGTTTTATTTGCAAAAATGAATTTATCGGCAAATTTGAATTACTATTAATTAAACTTGAAGAGGCACAACATTGCCCTACAGAAGTAATATTGTAAAAACGAGGAAAGCATTTAATAACACTTTAAAAAAATATTTAAAATTAAATTATATAAAATTTATTTTCCCCAACTTTGTTAAGCTTAAAGGAGGACATCGACCTGATGACATTGCTTGTTTTATCTGTAATAGATAAAAGGATTTTTATATTAAAATTTTGTTTTTTTCTAACCTGTTCTTTGCTTACATTCCTTGTACATAAAGGTCTATGGAAATTAAAATATTTTTAAATTTATTTTTCAATAATTACCGGCATCCAAAAGACTGTTCTTGGCAACATTCAAGTAATCCATCAAGTCTAGAATTATCTACAATAATTTCAGAAACTCCATTAATATGTACCCAACCATCCCTTCTATTCCCAACTTTCTTTATTGGAGAATTATTATTTAATGGAACAACCTAAATATTTTTTTAAAATTATTTTTTAAGAAATCCCTTCAAAACATTAAATTTTGGTGCTCTCACTAATGGACTTGTTTCTATATTTTCTTTTTGATTAAAAGGCATTTGAAGCAGACTGACACCATTCTGTTGTTTTACTGGATTTTCGAATTCTTCCTGTGCAAAAGAGCCACCTCCTCCGATTGAAGTAGGGATTTCTTTGTGTTGTTGCTAATATAGGTATATTAAATAATTAAATTAATAGGTGAGACTAATTAATTATAAAAACCCTTTTTTGCATTATCTTATTCTGGGGAAATCTTTTCCCAAAGGAATTAGGGGAAAAATCTTGGATAACTTAATTAATAAGTCATTCTTATTTATACCGCTAGAACTAAACAAATTTATTAAATTTATGAATATTAGACTGAAGATAGACTACATTTACCTTTACTTTATTTTCTAATAATTTTTCATTCCTCATTCCCTCTTCTTCTAATAAATTCCCTTCAATATTACCATTCTTTATTATCTTTTTAATTCCCAATTCTCGTCTATTAGGCCCCCCTCCTCCTCTCCTTTGCCAATTTAATTCTTCTTTTAAATTATTTTGTTGATTTAAAGGAGAATTATCAGTTGTTGAAGAAGTAATCGAATCAGTAAAGAATTCATCAATATCAGACCAATTTAAATTATTTTGGATTGGGGGAATTATTTCCTTAAAAATTTGAAAATTTAAACGTTAATGTGGCTAGAATAATAAATGAATATTAACATAACGTTAACTCTCATTCCCCCCCCCCTTCCCCATTGTTAATTTCTTTAATTAATTATCTTTATTTTTAATTTTCTGTCACTATTTGACCGGGAATATATTCTTTTTAACTATTAAAAGGTTAAGAGAACCTTTGTACTGTTTGTATATTTTAAAGGTATTTTAATTCTCCTTCCAATTTGTTTTTGTCTAGTATTTATTTGCATTCTAACAGGAACAAGTCTTTGACCATTTTGTTGCCTTTTCTTTACTGGAAAGGGTAATAGACGAGGTGTTGATGTTGTTTTTCGATTATTTAGAGTTCGAAGACGAAATAATTTACGTAATAAAATGTTGTTATTTAAATTACTTTTTTATAGAAAAAATTAATTTAAGATATGTAAATAACAGAAAATGTAAAGAGGGATTCCTAGTTATTGAAGAAATTGAGACAAGTACAAAGCCGTAAAATCTCGATTTTGCTCACACTTCTACTTAATACCAAGTAAGCTACGAGTACGAATTTTGGTACGAAAAAAATGTATGCTAGATAATTTACGTAAATAATGGGATTTCGATATTTCGAAACTCCTCTAAACTAAATTAGTTGACATATGAAGGAAAGTGATATTTTTAAGAGAATATTTTATTTGAAAAAATTTTTTTTAATTTAAACTCACCCATTATTTAATAGTTTAGGTTTGGAGTAGAATAGTGATCCTGTATTTAGTTCCTCTGATCTATTCCTTTCTGATTTTATTTAAAAAAATTAAATATATTATTTATTTAAAATTATTAACAATGTTTAAGAATTAAAAGCAAGCCTAGCAAAATTTAATGATTTAAGAGATAGAAAATACATAATCTTAGGATCAAAATAAAGTTTCCTTTATATTTTTTGTTCCTTTAAAAGATTTCCCAAAAATAATTTTTATTAAAAAATACCATTTATTTTATTATTAAATTTTTGTTGAATTCTTCCAATAACAGCCCCATCAACAAGAAATCGAGCATTATTTCCTTTCTCCTCTTGTTTATTCATTTTATCATCTCTTAATGGCTTTTCTAAATCTTCTTTTAAATTTTTTGTTGAATTTTTAATTGAAATTCTAGAAATATTTTAATTATATTAAAATTAATTATAAAATTATATGCTAAATTTTCTTGAATAATTAATTTGAGTAATTTTTATTTCAACCTCTAACTAGAAGAGGTATTTAATCTAAGGAGTACAGTTATTCGAGTTTTGAAATTTGAACATATGATAGGGCATTTGAGGGAGGGTAATCGAGAAAAGGTATTAAAATATATAAATTAAGATTAGATATGGTAGTTGAAAAGAGAAAAATCAAAATAATTTTTGTAAAATAATTTAATTCCTTTACTATAATCAGAATATTTAAAATTAAGAATTTTTTTCCATTACCTATTTATTTCTTCTTCAATTATTTCCTCATTATTATTATTAGAAGAACCAGAATTTAACATTTTCACACCTTTCCTATTTTGAAAAAAATCTTTAGCTCTTTGCAGCCTCAATAATAAAAGGAAATATTGATGACTTTCTTCTTCAGACATTTTCTGAAAAAAAATTCTTTAATTAAAAAATATTTTATTATTAAATACTTTTCTGTCACAATTATTTCTTTGAAAAGAAAATTGACAAATTTCTGCTTGTATTTTAGCTGCCCCATTATTTAATCGAATTCCTTTTAAATCTAAAGAAAAAATATTAATAAAAAAATTTAATTTTTTCTAACCTCTAAAATATTCATTTTCTTCCAACGGAAAGTCCAACCTTAATGTCGGTTTATCTACTACAGTATTTATTTCTTCACTCCAACGGCAATTAGGCTCATTTTCTTTTCCTTTTTAAATATTTTTTGAAGAATTTTAATTATTTTTAATTACTTAAATTAACATTTGTAGCTAAAGAAGCACAACATTGGACAAGAAAACTTTGATCATTTAAAACAAATCCACTCATATAAGTACGTAATCCACGAAAAGCAGAATAATGGGAACTTTAAATAAATTATTTAAATTTATTTTCTTTCCCAAATAATTTTTAAAAATCTTTAGAAAAATATTTTTTCTCCAAAAATTACCTTAAAGTACATCCTCCTCCTCCTCCTCCTCCACCTTTCCCATCCCCATCTGCCTCTACCCATTCACATAAACCAACACATTCAAAAGGAACAAATTTAGCACATAAAGCCTTTCAAATAAAATTTATTTTTATAAAAATTTAAAATTTAAACTAAACAGATCCTCTTTCAACACTAAACAATTTAAGGCCTAAATTGCATTGAGGGAAGGCATTCAAATAATTTAAATTTGTAATTAATAAATAAAATATAAAAAACAAATTTTTGATTAAATATTGTTGAAAGACTTGTCTCTTAAAATTTTAATTAAAATATTTTTAAATAAATAATTAGAAAAATACTTACAAATAAATATTTATTATGTTGCATTTTAAGTGAAAATTTAAAAAAGAAGAACGAGATCTGAATAGTAAAATTAATGTTGTTTAATTTGTTTTTTTGTTAATTTATTTAATTTTTATTTTCATTTTATTTTTATTCTTTAATTAATATTTAAATTTACTAAAAATAATGAATTTAAATTAATAATTTGTAGAAATAATTAAACAGTAGGGTTGGCGGACCATTGGAAATCTCCGGATTTCCGGATCCGCCAAGCCTACTAGGTAAGTTATTTAAACCGAAGGAAGAGAATTTTTTGTCTAATAAAATCAACAAGACCCATTGTATATTTAATTAATTGATTAATAATTAAATCAGAAATTATATATTTTGAGAACAAAAATATACATACTAAAAATTATTTTATGAAATTATAATAAAGAAATATTTGTATATGAATGCCAAAATTAAAGACAAACAACAAAGAATTTTAGTTTTTTTAAATCGACGGGTCTAGGTTTCAAAATTTTCGTAAAGAAATATCTCAGTAGTAACCCCTCAAATTTTATAGAAAAAAATGTTAAAATAATTAATTTTAAAAATAAAATTGTGTTTTTAAATAAAACCGATTAAATAAAAATTTAAAAATAGAAAGTTTTTCTTTAGTCTTTTTTCCTTTTTTTATAAAAACTTTGATCGACAACACTTCAAGTTTAAATATCTCTGTTGGAGAATTTTCTCTGACCTCTCTCAGAAAGAAAAAGAGATTTGCGTAGATTTTCCCTCTTTTTGAATAATAAAGGTTTAAAATAAAAATTGTTTTTAAAAGTTGTAGAGTTTTATTTAAAATTTCAAAATAAAACAAAAAAAATTGATTACAAATAAGAGGATCTTATCACTAAATATTGCAAGGCCAGCTAAGAAAATAGCTTACAATTGGATGGGATTTTTGTCCTAGCAAATAGCAAAAATGAAAATGATCATATTTAGGTGAGTTTGTTTGAGCGGTTATTAATCTTGTATTGGAGAGCTTTCAGAATCAAATTCCATCTAATTGTTTGCTATTTTCTTGAACGGATTCGTTCCTCTTACATATATAAAATAAATAAATATCCCCTTATATAAATATCAACGAAAGATTTTGCTAAAATTAAAAGTGAAAATGAAAGAAAAAAAGGAATGAATAAACAAATAAATAATAAATATTATTTGATTATTATTACAAAAAATCAAAAAAAAATTAAATATTTATATATCCGGAAAGAGGAGGATATTCTTGCTTGTTGATTCCTTCTCCTCTCTTTTTTTGCTTGTTTGCGCAAATTTTAAAAATCAAACCAAAACAAACATTTTTTTGTTTTTATATAATTCAAATAATTCTCATCCTTAATAAAATGGCATGAAAAAAAATAAAATTATTGAAAGATGGAAATAAAAAGGAAAATAAAAATATGTACAATTCTCGTTAAATTAAGCAGAAAATTTAAAATTGAAAATTAATAGGTAGGTAATAAATAAATATTTTATTTTCTTAATAAAACTAAGTTAAATATTTTTATGAATATCCTTTTATTTTTAAAGTTTAAATTTTCTTTTTAAGCTAAATAAGAAAATAATTCTCCAAAATTTTTCAATCTTTTATTTAAATGAATTTTTTTATTCATTCATTTATTTTTTTGAGAATAATCCCAACAATTTTTATTTAAATTAATTATTTATAAAAATATTTTAATGAATTTTAACGGAGGGGAACATGTAAAATAAATATTAAATATTTTCGTAGAGATTAAACAGTTAAAAACACAAAAAGCAAAATCGTCAGATTGGTATTTGAGAATAAATTTCAAAATAAAAGAAAGGAAACACTGGATATCTTTAAACCAGTTTTTAAATTTTTATTTTTCATCATATTTTCGGAAATGACTGGAAGGGGAGGAGATGGGCCGGGATTAAATTTAAGGGGAAAGGAATGAATTTTGGAGGAGGATGCGCAATCCGATAGAAAATGAGAGAAGAAAAAAGGAGTTAATTTTAGACTGAATGACGTTTAGAAATTAAAATTAAATTAATTTCTTCAGAGAATTTTTATGAAAAAAAAAAATAAAATTTTGTAAACACACAACTAGTAGTTTGCTCAAAAATTAAATTAAATATATGTATAAGAATGCATTATTCATGATTTTTTAAATGTTAAAAGTCAAATATGTAGGGAGAAGTCAAAAACCAGCAAAAACTGGCTACTGTTAAATTTTTAAAAACAAAATGGTCATTAAAGAATAATAATTATTTATAGAATTTTTTCCTACTAGGTTCTGTTGCAAACAATTTTCAATCCTTGATGTAAAAATATTTTTTTATTTTTTGCCTAATTTTAAAATAAAGTTGTACTTTTAAATCGAACAATATAATATGTAGATAAGCATGTTTTTTTAACGACCGCCCAAATAAAAAATTCCGGAAAATTACTTAATTTAATTCAAGCTACTATTTTGCCTTTTTTGATTACGCAAAAAACAAGCTTTTTTATTAATGTTGACTTACTTAAGCTTATTATTTATTTACAAATCTTCACTCGACAATTTTTTTCAAATTATTTATATTAAAAATGTCAAAATCTTACAGAAAAAATCTTATATTAAAGTCGAAATTATAAAGAAACTAGAGAATTTTGAAAAAATACTGACAAGAAAAGGGAATCCTCGTTTTAATGTCTCTAGGTACAGCTCCGATTTTGTACGCTCCTAAGGGAGAGTAAAACATCTGAAACACAGAAAGTTTTTGGATTTAATATCAAAAGTTTTATAATTATCTTCTAATATTACAGAAGTGTTACAGAAGTGTTTTTAGTGTTAATTGAATCTATAAGGGAAACATTTTGAGTTTTCCCCATCTTTACTCACATAACAATTAATTCCCATAAACGTTAAAAACATGATCTAAACAATTTTAATCTTTTGTCTTGGATAATTTAAATTTACATATAATCTGTAAATTTTGGCGTTTTGCATTTGGCGTATTTCGAAAAATTTGAAAAATATAACAAAAAATTTAATCCTACTACAAATTACAAGTGAGAAAGATGTTAAAACAGTTTTCGGCTGTTGGCACTTCGAATGATAGGACAAGATACTGAATATTTTCCGGATAATATGAGAATTATCTACACCGTCGAAACTCAAGAGGGTTACTGTATCCTACTCCGAATCGGCTTCGTTTATTGTTGGCGACTCTGAATTTTACTTTGAAATGACCTTTACACGTTTTTTGTTGGCATTTTATTTATTTTTGCAAGAATTTATCGGAACGCGATCATTGAGTACCGCCGTTTGTGTACCGCCGTTTGTGTACGGCTAGTTGTGTACCGCCGGTTGTGTACCTTGCCGTTTGTGTACCTGGCCGGTTGTGTACGGCCGGTTGTGTACCTACCCAAATGGGGACGTTTGTGTACCCGCATTTTTAAGAATTTTTGTCTTTATATATCCCAGAACGAAAGTATTGCTGGTAAGATAGTAAGGAAATATAGACTATATCACCCAATTCAGAATCTTATTAGACCCAAGGTTACTTTATCAGGGGATTTTAGGCCGTATCTTCACTTAAAGAACTTTTTGTGTTGCTTCGGAGAATAGGTCGGCATTTCAACTCAAAAAATCGATAAAAGGAATAGGTTTATGTTACTGGTACGGAACCCAGCGACCGTTGACTCCCGCGAGACGCGTGCCGCAAAAGCCCGCGCGAAGCGCGGGCTTTTGCACAAGCGTCTCGCCGACGCCCATAGGTTTACAGGTTTATTTTTGAATCGTAATTTTGTCCAAATTTGTTAAATCATGGCAATTTTGGTCGACTTTGCATTTCGAATTTTCTAATAAGATTCTAAGTTGGGGAATATAATCTATATTCCCTTATTATATTCCTATATAATGCGGTACACAACTGGCCAGGTACACAACCGGCCGTACACAAACGGCGGTACACAAACGGCGGTACACAATGGTCCCCTACCGAGAATTTATTTAATTTTTTTTATTTTTTATTGACTTAAGGACTAAAAATCTGGACAAAACTTACTTATAGAAAGCTTGTTATGGACGACTTTAGCAAAGAATTTTCTTTAACTACTTTAAAACACCAATTTGACGAGTCTGATTTGCATTCGATGAGTTTAGATGAATTAAGTAAATAGTTTTTTATATTTTCTTTTAAAATTATTTTTATTTATTTTTAAGAAAATATGCGTCAAAAAGTTGAAGATAAAGTTCAAAACCTTCAAAGTGAATTGAGTGATCTTGCATTTCATAATTACCGAACTTATGTTGATGTTAGTACAACTGCTGAATATTGCAGAGAAAAGGTTTTAATTTTTGTTTTGAATAGCAAAAAGTTTATTAGCCACATTTTTTGAAGACTTTAGCGTAAGAAAAAATTTATATTTTTTGAAAAACTCTAGTCACTAAAATTTATTTTTGTCGATAAATTAATTTTTATTAAACTCAAATATTTTTGTTTTTAGTTTTCTCAAATGGACATTCTAATGCGACAGTCAAGTTCTTCTTTTCCAGCCCTTGAAGAACAAATTGATCAATTTAAAAATCAATCGACCCAATTATTTAATGAATTTAAACTTTTGAGTGATGTGGAGTCCACAAACTTTTTAATTTGGGAAATAATTAGACTTCCAAAGGTTTTGATTAAATCTTTATAAAATTATATTTATTTTTTTTAGTTAATGGAAAAATGTATTCGTGCTGGACATTTCGATCAAGCTTATTCAATTACAAATTTTGCTTTGTCGATTAAACAATCCAAACTTGTCCAATATCCTTTGTTTAAGGTTTTTTTTAATTTCAGATACTCTTTCAAATTTTCTTTAGAATGTTGTCGATTATTTACTTGAGGCACGACATAGTCTTTTGGATGAACTTTTTAACAAATTTTCTGGCCCTCTCAATTTAGCAAATAGTATTCAGGTTTTTTGATAGAATTTTATTTTTAAATTAATTTTTATATATTTTTCAGATTATAAATAATATAAGAAAGATTCCTTACATTTCCAAAACTCAATTACGGATTTCAATTCTTCAATATAGAGATATTTATTTGGAAAAGAAAGTTTCTTCTATTATGGTAATTTTCTTTAAAATTTGCCCATTTTTATGACTAACAATAAAAATTTTAATTTTTTATTTGGCTGTACATAAGTGCTCCTTTCATTCTAAATTTTTATAGCTTTCTGAAGCATTCCACTCAATTAATATATATTTTTATATTTTAGTCAGAACCAGATTTTATTTTGCGAGTTATCGAAGTATATAGAGAATGTATGTATGACACAATAATTCTTTATTTGGCTGTTTTTCCAGAAACTGACACTCAACAACGATTTGTATTTTTAAAATTAATAATTTTTTGATTAAATATTTTAAAGGTAAATGAGGATACTCGTTGGGAAAGATGGACAGGAAGTTCTCAAAATTATTTACTTCAATGTTGGGCTCAAAAAAATATTGAAAGATTATTAAATTATGTGCAATGTTTTGATTATACGTCTTTGTTGGATATTGAAATGGTTGTTTCGAAGGTTGGAATTTTTTAAAAATATATTTTTGGAATAATTGTTTTAAGTTGATGAGCTGTGCTTTTTCTTTTGGACGAATGGGACTTGATTTCCGTTCTTTAATTCATTACAAATTTTCGCAAATGGTTCTTAATATTTTTCAAAATAAAATAGAGGCAGCAACAAAAAGGTTGGTTATTTTAATTTTTTGACTTTCAAATGTTTTTAATTGAGATTCGGGGTTGTTTGTTCAAAAAATTTAAGTATTCTTCTGTTGAAAATTTTATATGTTTCCTACTAACATTTTTGGAAGAAATTATTTTTAGAAATACGATTAGACAGCTGCTACTAATTCGTTTTATTTTTAGTTTTACTTCAAAGGAGAAAATTGCTCTTATTGATGATGGAATTTTTGAAAACACTCAATCTGAATTGAAAAAGGAAATTAATCGTGTTGATTTATCAGCTCCATTAGAATTATGTATTTGGGATGAATTGTGTATTTTTGGAAATTCTATAATTAATGCATTAAATGAAATTAGACATTCAATTTATATTAATTCGGTTTGTTTTTTTAATTTTTTTATTTGGATTCATTTTAAAATTTCGACAGATTCGTCGTGTATTCAATATTTTACATTTTTCTTTTCAAAATATTTTTGCTTGGTTGGACTCTTTCCTTTCAAATCAAGAAAATATTTTTATTGTTAAAAAGGCTACTTTTCTTTTAATTAAACAATTTTTGCCTTTCATAAATTGTTGCTTCTTTTCTTGTTTTCCCTATGAACAATGTGCTAAAAAATATTTTATTACTGGAAATTGTTCTTTAAATGAATATGTAAGGAAATTTAATTTTTTTTTAAATTAATTTTTTTTAGAAAAATACTTTTAATTTTGTGAATTCTAATATTTTTGGTTTATGTAAAAATGAATCTTTATTTTGTGAAATGATAAAAGAATTTGATTTGAAAGAAAATGAAGAACGAAATATTTTAATTGAGGAGGAATCGATTAATACAAAGAATGAAGGAACTGACGAACGTTTAGAAATTGAGGGGGAAGAGAAGGAAGAAAATAAAGAAATTCTAAAAATTGAAGGCGAGAAGGAAGAAGGAAATGAAGAAATTTTAGAAATTGAAGGGGAAAAGAAGGAAGAAAATAATGAACTTTTAGGGATTGAAGAGGAAGAGAAAGAAGAAAATTTGCTAGAAAATATTGAGTGATATGTAGATTTTCACTTTTGATAATGACTGTGATAAATTAAATAATTATTTTGATTTATTTTTATAACTAGCGGAGAGGCTCGCCCGAAGGCTGTACCCTTATTATATTCATTTTTATAATTAATGTATTTCCATTTTCTAATGTTTTTATAGAATGTCTTTAGCAACTAAACTGCGTCGTATTAGAAAGAAACCTCCAGAGGGATGGGATTTGATCGAACCAACACTTGAAGAATTCGAAGCAAAAATGCGTGAAGCAGAGACGGAACCACATGAGGTTATTTTTTAGATGAATTAAATAGATAAAAGTTTAATTTTAGGGCAAAAGACGAACAGAAACTGTTTGGCCTGTTTTTAGAGTTTGTTTTTAATTTAAAATAATTCTATATGTTTGTAAAATTAAAGATTCATCATCAACGTTCAAGATATATTTTTAATTTATTTTATAAAGAAGAAAAAATATCAAAAGAACTTTACCAATTTTGTATTGATGCAAAACTTGTTGATGCTCTCTTGGCTGCAAAATGGAAAAAACAAGGATTTGAGAATCTGTGTTGTTTAAGATGTATTCAGACGAGAGATACCAATTTTGGGACAAATTGTATATGTCGAGTTCCAAAATCTAAACTTGACGCGGTTTGAAATTTGTTTTATTTTTTTATTTAAAATACTCTTTTTAGGATCGAGTTATTGAATGTATACATTGTGGATGCCGTGGATGTTCTGGATGAACGAGATTCGATTCTTTTTCGATTTGGTTTTATTTTTTTAATGTAATTCAATTTTTTCTAAAAATAAATTTTTCGTTTTTTAAATTTACAAAATCTTTATGTGTTATTTACAAGTATTTAAAATAATTCAAAATAAATAATTTGTTTTTTAAACTTTTCTTTGACATTTTTCTGTTTAACTAATAATTTCTGAATACATTGAAAATGCCAGATTGGGATCATTTCTTTGCATCACTTCGCAAATACTTGGACTATTTTCGATCTCATATTCAACTAATACCAACAATAAATGGTTTTGTAGGTGATTTGCAATCAATTTCTGATGGTGAACTTTCTGGGCTTTTATCTTGGACTAAATTGGCTACTGCAATATCTCTTAAGGTTTGAGCTTTTAGCTATTTGCTTTCTTCCTTTGGACTTCAACTTATTAGGATCCGGATTCACGACGCCAATTTTGTCAAGATAAGGGATGGAGCGTCATTGAATCATCAGTTGGTCTTCTCGCCAGCCCCGTGCCTTTAGTATTCAAAGGATGCCTTTGCAATTTTCTTGCTGCCCTTGCAATTGATGAAATGGCTGCTGTAAACATATGGAACTGTTTACTTTGCGAATTTATTTGTTCTAAACAAATTGGTGGAAAATCTATTGGAATTCAAGTTTATTTTATAATTTTTTTTTTAATTTTATATATATTTGTAGCAAGATTTGGATTCTCGAGAGGCTCATCTAAAAATTTATGATTATTCTCAGGGATTTTTAACTCTAATGAAAGAATTGCTTTCACACAAGGCTCGCCCAAGTACCCAACAAATTGCTCCATTTATTCATTTTATTGTCAATTCAATTCTTTGTCAATTCTCTACTCGTTCATACAGCAATATAACTCAAATGGTAATTATTTAAAATAATCGAATTGACTAATTTAAAATACCGTTACCCTTTCTTTGTTCCTAATACTATAAATGGCTTTTTACTTTTTTGAGTTTTTAAGAAGAAAATCTTTGATCCTTTCATTCATACTTATCTAAAATGGAATCACTTATATAAGTATCTTAATTTATTAAAAATTTTAGTGGATGTTGGTCAAACTTGCCCTTGACTGTTTATATCAACCATTAAAGACTTTCTTTGTAACAGCAGTCACTGTTGACAATAAAGTTTTTGAAGTACAAATATTATGTCAATTATTGAGTGATAGTCCATTATCTAGAGCGGTAGGGGATTTAATTTGAATATTTTTTAAACCATTTTATTTTTTAAAGTTACTTCAAATAATTGCCGAAGGAGGTTGTCAACTTCAAGAGAATAAATTTTCTCATTTCCCTGCTAGAGAAGATGCAACATGTTCCGCTATTCGATTACTTTATGTTGCCATATCAAATCGTTCAGCATTATCTGATGCTATTAGAGCTGTAAATTGTGATATTTTAATTGCTACAATTGAATCTATTTTATTTTCACCATTTCCATATTCGCAACAAAAAATTGACAATTGTTATATGAGTTTACTTTTTAATTATATCAACGAGGTTTTTTTCTAAAATTGAAAAAAAAATTATTTTATTTTTTTAAAGATTGATTCTTTTATAAGACATGCTTTTTTTGTTTGGTTAATAATTAAAGAAGCAACAGCCCAACGTCCATCTCTACAATCACACATTGTTCAATCACTTTTACCTCGACGTCAAAAATTAATAAATTGTGTGGCAACTTTGTCAATATTTTCTTTGGAAGATATTTTTGTTGGAATTAATGATTTGGCTTTAATTGATATTGAAGGGATATCTTATGGAAGGTTAAAAGGAGAAGTATGTCGACTAATGTTAGAAGTATTCAATGATGCTATGCAATATAATTCTAATTCTCCAAATATTACTTATGCATTGATGAATTTTGATTTGATGAATATTTCTGCTACAATTCTTGATTTACCAGGTCTTTTGAAAGGGAATTTTTTTTTGTTGTAGATATTTTTCATGGCTACTATTTTATATTTATAAATCTTGTTTTTAATTTTTTCTTTAGGGCAAGGATCCACTTGTTTGCACAATATTTTGGACATAGTCCTACAGCTGAAAACTTCTGATTCACCTCTTTCGACTCATTTTTCTGGACTTTATGAACCTGCTTTGCGTCTTATTGTAATTACCTTTTAATTTAAAAACTATTTCAATTTTAATATTTATAGCTTCGTTTATGTTCTCTTGGATCATCTAGCTCTTCAATTGTTCTCAGATTTCTCAGATCTCATTATGATCTCATTTATCAATTGGCTCAATCGAAAGTTTTCAAATGTTTGACTTCAACTAATTCAAATGATGCAACCCCAACTGAAAGTTTTGAGAATGAGTCTTCTTGTTGGAGGAGGGAAAATGATGAATATGCACTAGCAACAATACAACGTTCTCTTCAGGTTTTTATTTATGAGTTCTTAGCTCATTAAAACAAAAGACAACATTCTTTGTTTATTAAAAATAGATGCGTCTTTTTGAACTTACATTTTTAATTTTCTAGAGTATAATTTTGGAATTGATCGCTTTGGATCTTTCTTCGCTTCTCCGATCTGGCTTAATAGAACATCCACATAAATATTTACGTTTACTCTTTTCTACACCATCAGATCAAAATTCACAATCATTACAATCTTCTAATCTTTTTTCTTCAAATATTGAAGGCCAAAACGGTTAATTTTTGTTTTTTCTATTTATTTAGAATATTTTTAGTTCTTTTTTGGTCACTTTTGGAATCAAGTCGTATATTTGTTGGTGATCTTTCTCCTCCAATTTGTAACAAATTTGATCCAAATAAAATGGAAGAAGTTAATTTTTTTTAATTTTTTATGAAAATGTTTTTCTCTTTTTTAAGTTACTTTCTCTTTGTATTCGAAAAAATTCTTGTAATATTGAGCAATTCGATGTTGTTTATCTTCAACTTTTGTTAAATAGTGAAATTAATTGTATAATGAATACAGAAATTGATGTTATTAGAGAGGTTAGTTTGAAATATTTATTTTTAATTAAATATAATTTTTATTTATTATTTAAGGAAGCTCGATCAATTTTGCATTTTTGTGTCAAGAAAAATGCTTTAAATCTTTTGGAAGGTTCATGTACGCATTTGCTTGAAGGATGGCTTTCAGTAATGAATGTTTTGTCTGTACATGTTCCTCTACCTTTCATTAATATTTGTAAGCTATTTTTTGGAGTAATGCGAACAGATCAACTTAGGCACTAGATTTAACATATTAAATTTATCTTTCTAATACATAAATGTTGAAAACAAACAATAAGGTGATACTTGAGTTACTCGTGAATATTTTTTCTATTAGTTTCTCTTCTCATTATTTTTTTATTTAGCTACACATAAACATATTCTGGTTGATGCACTCTTTCTTTTGCGTGATTATTGCCGTTTAGTTGAAATGAGTCCAGAACTAGCCGCTTCTGTTGCAACATGTTTTTCAAGAATAGTTTCTTCAGTTTGTAGTATGTTTGCAAAATATGAAGACATGCAAAAAGCCAAAAGTGCAATTTTGCCTGTTTTGCATTTACTTCTTCAATGTATTGTTTTATCTGGTTTGTAGGATTTTAAAATTTTTATAATTTATTTTTTTTTCTTTTTAAGGTTATTCTAAATCATTTACATTTAAACGTGAACTTTATATTTGCTGTTTGCGTGTTTTAGATTTATTTTGCAATTTTAAAGGAGAAAAAACTCAGAGATCTGAAATATCCAGTGGAACAACCAATTTACCGTTGAAAAATGATGACCTTCTAACTTTGCTTCTTTTTAATAAACTTGGCCAGGAAGAGATCGAAGTCACGGGAAACACAAATGATCAAACAGTTAAAATGATGCAAAATCAACGAATAATTAGTGATTTATGGATGAAATTAATTGAACCTTTAAAATGTGAAATAATTCAAACGTTTACTTCTGATGTTATTTTTGGACCACTTTCTCTTAAGGTTTTGTGTTTTTTTGGAAGAGACTGATTTATAAAAATATTTTCGGGAATTAGAGCTGTTGAGTAGGGGGGAGCAGTCAATTACTTTTTAAACTTATTTTTAATATTACCTTTTTAGATGTTAGCAGCAGCAACTTTTGTTGATTTATTACGTGAGGACAGCAAATTTTGTGGGCGTATTATAAAAGAATTTATTTTCGATGGTTCTTTGCAGTGTGTAAATGATCTATCTAAACGATTTGAAGACAATTTAAAAAATCCAGTCAAAGGATTAGTTGAAGACGAAAATAACAGGAGACGAATGCAATCGCTAATTAATGCAATTCATTCTTTAAATATAATTTCCGAGTCTGTTCGAAATACAAAACAATGTTATTCAGTTATGTTATAAAGAAATGTTTTTCGTTTGTTTTGTTTTATTCTAATTTGTTAATACATTTTTTATATTTGTTAATAAAACTTTAATTAAAATTATTTAAAAAATTTTTAAATGGAAGATGGGTTTGCGCGTATCAAAGAGGAATATGTCTTGGAAAGTAATAAAAAGTGTGGAAATAATGATGTCAACAAGGAGGTAGCTGCACCTGTTAAACAGCCGGGTATTATTTAACTTCTATCGTTTTTATTATAAATAATTTCAGAAAAAAGGAGAGGAATGGATCGTCAAAGAAAAGGCAAAATGTTAAAAGCCAAAATTGAGATGGGTAAAAATGAAATTCGGATATGTCCTTCTGTCCTTAGCGAAGATAATGTTAAGTGTAAATATGGTGATAAATGCTTGGCAATGCATTCTAAGGAGGAATATTGGGCAAAGAAACCACCAGATATTGGTTTTCTCTTTAACTTAAGAATTCATTTTATTGTTTCCATTTTAGGAGCAGTTTGTCCTATCTTTGAACAACAGGGGAAATGCAAGTTTTCGTTGGCTTGTTCTTTTGCTCGGGCTCACACTAATCTAGAAACTTTGGATCAGATTGAGAAGGATCCTAGCCCTTCTTGGAAGCCTACAATTAATGCTCAGACTATACAATTG